GGGGCTGAACTGGTGGTGCTGGGGCTGGGCTGCAGCAGAAGGGTCTCTGATCTCACAGTCTAGGGGCAGCCCCATGGGACATAAACCCTGGGCTCTCTCTGGGTGAAGAATTGGTCTCAGGTGAGATGCCTTGTGCTTACAGATGGCCCCAGTCCAGGTTAGTGAGCCCAGAACATGTGAGAAGGGAAATGAAATCAGTTCTGTGCAGGGTTCATGAGATTTGGTTCATTGCTAATAGTCTGTAGTCAGTCTTCCGAGGAAATACTGAGTTTCTGAAGGGAAACACTGATTATGGAAAGAGCCAGCTGAAGGAGTCGGAGCTTTTCCCAATAGAACAAGTATGGAATGCTGTGCTTTCTGGGGAAGAGTGGAGAGGGAAGATGTAAAATCTAATTTTATTCAGGAATAATAGTCCAGTGTGCAGAGCACTAAACTCTCCTCAGTGCCACCATTAATAGAAAGTTGTTGTGAAACCTATTAGCAACACCAGTTGATCCAATGTAAGCAAAATGCATCCAAAAAAGGAGACATGAATGCCTTGAGGAAATGGGAGGGAGGAGATGCCTTTCTGTCAGTGAGGGCTCCTGATGGCAGCACAGATTCCACTAAGCTCCACTCCAGAGAGGGGTTTTGTCTCACTGATTGCAGAGTTACTGCTTGCAGCCAGATGCACCATAGAAGGGGATAGATCCTCCCCAGCACTGATAGCCAGGAAGAAAATGTTTGTGGAATGCTTTTAGTATGGGCAAAAACTGATAATCTTTGATGAAGGACACCTGAGGTGGAGCACTGCCATTCCTGAGGTCTGAGTAAACCATGGAATGTGGAGGCTGAATAAATCCAACTGGTATTTGTTCCCTTCTCCCAAGGATTTCCCACAGCAGACACCAGAGATGGTGCTGGTGGCTGAGGGCTGAGGTTGAGTTTGTTCTCAGGTGCCACAAGCCTGCAGCTGTGCTGGGCTGTGCTGGGTGCCACCAGCACCTCCTGCTAACTGAGGAAGCTCTAAAAACAAACAACAAAAAACTCAGCTTCAATGACTTTGAAAATAATGCTTGCTGAGGAAAAGACTTAATATTCTTGAGAAAGAGTTTTCCACAGGTTCCCAACAGCTGTTTATGCAGAGCTCCATTGAAGTAGATGGGCTGGGTGAAGGCAAGGCTTTAATCATAACTTAATTTTCCCCTGGGGAGAGAAACAGAGACACAAATGACATGTGCTGCTATCGTTGCCTGAATCACATCTGGAAGATGCTGACATAAATAATGATGAAGGCCATTTAAAAATGTGATTACTCCATGTAAGTACCTGTATTTTCTTTCAAGAACATATGTTTGCACTAGTAAATGAGGTGCCCAGAGGAGGGTGAAGGCCAGGCCTCCCGTCTGGGAGGACAGCAAAGCCAACAGGCAGAGCTGCCAGAATGCAATGGGAGGCTCCCCAGCCTTCAGTCAGCCTTGCACCCTGCGCAGAGGGGGTGTAGCAGCAGTTTGGGTGTTGATGGCTGGACTTTAGGAGGTTTTCCTTGTGTTTTTACTGGTTTGCAGTTTTGAGTGTGCCAAGAGGGAGGCCGTGGGTATTCACAGCTCTGCCATGGGTGTGTTGAGCAGATAATCTGCACCTCACCTGCGTGATTCAAGTCACCTCTTGCAAGGTGGTGCAGAGTTGGTTTTTCACATGAAGTGTAACCTTCTCAGGACTCTGAAATCTCTCACCAGCCTCACTTCCCAGCCTTCCCATCCTTGGAAATCCAGGAGTTCACAGTTTATTTGGTAACTTGGGTACCTTTAACCCCCCCCCAACAATCTCTATCTTTCTCTCAGGAATTCTACTTGCAGCCTGTCCTTTCTGCACCTGCCTCCTGTGGCTTCTGCTGCTTTTACCCCACTGCCAGGAGATCTTTGTTTTATCATTTCTCTCCTTTTTAAAAGGGCACAGGTCAGAAAGAGAAACAGCCACCCTTTTTCCTTGATGCCTGAGAGCCTGCACCAGTGTGAGGAACTCACAGCCCTGTTGAGCCTGTGAGCTGCCAGGCCAGATCCTGAGCAAATATTATTCTAAACTCCACCATGGCTTTAAACTGCAGCACTGCAGGTTTGGAAGGCAGCTGCTCTGTACCTTTGGGACTTCAGAGTGTGTTGTTGAATGAGTGCCCTGGGAAATCACTAATGAAGGATGATTTTTATTTCCCCAAATTCCACTCTTTGTTTTTATTTTTTTTAATGCATCATGTTTTGTTCTTTCTTGGAATGTTTTTGTAGAAATGTAGAGTTTAATGTTAAATATTTGCTCCCATGTGTTTGTTTTTGAGAGGGTATTGGGAGTTTCAGTTTATGTCCTTCAGCATCATCTCCACCCCAGGGAACAGTGTGAGGCAGGGTGAGGGCACTGCTTTGGCGGTGTCTGCCCCAACCCACAGCTGGTGCTGAAGTGGTTTAGTCAATTTTGGGCCCATTGTTATTGCAGAACTGCTTGGGTTTTTTCTGGCACATTTGGTGGTGCTATGGCTGACTGGACCAGTGGCAGTGGAGATGTTCATGGAAATACACAAAAAATAGAAAAATGGCAGAGGAATTTCTTCTTCTCTCTCACGTGCTTGCACTGGAAGACTTAGAAGAACTGAGTACAAGAGCAGTTGCTACCTGCACACACCATTTTCCCAAACCTGTCATTGATGTATTTATCTGCCCTCCCATGACAATAACTCAGTTCTTTTGTAGGTTGTTGTACTCCCCTATCCAGGAAGGACAAGCCATTTCCAAATGCACATCTCAGTCTTTCATTGTTTCTGTTGTACTCTGCAGCCATTTCTTCACAATCAATAATGTGGAGATTTGCAAGCTCATTTTCTTTCAACGCTGATCTAATTAGTTAATAAAATAGTAGTCTCTCCCCTACCTCCTCCTACTTGTTTCCCCCTCATTTCTCATCTTAGCCACTGAAGAAATATTTCCTCTGTTCTCACGAAAGGAATGCATTTACACTTGCCACAGCAGTTCAAAGATACCAAGAATATATTTTCCTTATGTTGGTAATTGCTTTTCTTGGTTATTAGTTGATCAAAGCGGAGGAAATAGAGTGGGGGCAGTCAGACTAAATAATAGATCTGGAGTTGAACTGAGACTGGAGCTTTCTTGGGGTTTTTCTTTTGTTTTCAAAGTGCTGAGTTATTCAGTCTCTGCACAGGGGCACCTCCCTGGTAGGTGTGGAGCAACTGTGAAGTTACTGGGGTGGTTCCTCCATGGTGTAAATCAGGCACCAGCTGCTCCATGTTGTTCCTCCAGACTCTGAAGGAGCTCATAGCTCCAACAGGTTTATCTCACAAACAAACTGAGGAAAGTTTTTGGTTTTTTTTACCTGTCCAGCAAAATATGCAGGTGGTGAGAAAAAAAAAAAAAATGGAAACTTGGGGGTTTGGTGCTTGGGTTTTTTGCTTGATATTTTGTTTGATTTTTTTTTTAGAAAGGTGAAAGTTAAGATCATTTTTTCTATGCTTTCTGGCAGTGTTTTTGTTTGGAAAGCTTGTATGGAACATGAAACTGAAACTTTGGATTAGCATAAACATTTTAAGGTCTTTCATCAAGTCTGTTGCACTTACTGTCAACGTATTTCATCGTCGTGACTCTTTAATGAGATTTGGCTGGTGCTGGCAAGACAGACAGTCAGAAGTTCACTTTTGCTTCATTTGGGTTTTTTGTGGGTTTTTCCCCCGCCTGTGTCCAGCCCCGAGAGCTTTGGCAGATTTGCTTGGCTCTGAGAGTGCCAGATTCTAGATTTCTCCTTATTTGGAACAAGTGTCCTTATCACCATTGCCAAGAATATCCCGGGCTGAAAGGCAAAGGGCCAGGAATTCACCACAGTTGCTTGGAGGGCTGGAATTCCCAGGGGAAAATGGGGCTGGCATGATCAGTGCCACAGGAGAGAAGGTGTTGGAAAGGCTGTGTGTCATCTCATGAACACCATCTTCACAGAAGCACTGGTGTCTTTGCTAATCCTTGCCTTTAACTGGAGCCTGAGGTCAAAGATAACTTATTATTTTAAACAGAGCTTGGGGTTTTTCTCTGTGAAAGTCTCCTTGCTTATTCAGTGGCATTTAGTCATCTCAAGATCCATAATACATGTCAATACTCTGAGAAATATGGGAGGTGGGTGCTCTAATTCGCTTTTTATTTCTCAGAATAATTTTCTGGAATATACTGAATAAGGATTTTTATGAGCTTCCAGGAGGAATTACTACTATCCTGCATTCCTGTACTGAGGGATGATCTTGGAAACAACAGACAACTCCTTGACTTGGAACAAAAGAGGAAAAGTGTCTGAAATTGTTAGTATGAAAGAAGAAGGTGGAAGAGAAGGTGGCATTAAATAGTCTTAATGATTAAAGATAACTCAGTGTTTTACTCTGAGTATGGAGGAAGTTTGTTTTGAAGACATGACTCAATTTCAGTTGGGTTTAGTATGTCTGTGACCTGCTTTTGCATGTATGAACAATATTCCCTATGGATATCCTGAGAAAGCACAGAGCAAAATCACATCTGATGTTACTTCTGACATCAACAAACTCATAACAGAGATGAGAGTAATGCATTATTTCTACTTCAGAAAGGGGAAAAGCAGAAACACCTGGGAATAGGTTAGATCATCCTGGCTTTCCTTGGTGTGTGGAAGGATGGCAGGGGAAGAAAAATTTCTCCCTGGGATTGTTCACCTGATCATTATTAGTTTGCCAGAGAGGACCACCATAAATGTAAAAAAAAAGGAAATAAAAGTGGAAAAAAAGGAAATAAAAAAGGAAACAAAGTGGGGGGAAGGGGAAAATGGAGAGGAGGGTCTCAGATGGAAAAATTAAGACTTTTTTTTAAATGCAGTTGGTAAAAGCAACAACTGAGTGAGCAGCAGTGATCCCAGCCTTGCTGTCAGCTAATGCTGGCAGACATAATAAACATTTAAAACCAGCCTTAAACAATGCAACATTTTAAGGACTCTACACCAATAAATGGAACTGTTCATAATGTACTTTTAATTCATACCCATCAGGAAAGCAGCACACCTCCAGGCATTTCCTCTCCTGCCATGCCCAGGTTTTCCAGGCACAGTGAGGAGCAATGCACATCCCACAGCAGGGGTGAGCCATCCCCTGAGCACGCCCAACGCGAGACACCGGCAGAGGAAAGGTCTCCTGGGAAGGGTTGAAAAGGGCCATTTTAGGAGCTCTCTGCCAGGAGAGTTATCCATTCCACTATCCATAACTGTGCACCAGGGGATGCAACTCAGGTCTGGGCTCTTGGCGAGACGGGTCCATGGAACTCACATGAAGTCATGGCAGTGTGGCATGAGAACGGCTTAGAAACAGAGCCGAGCAGAGGTCCCCTGGCTGGAGGCTGGCAGGAACAGAAGGGAGGATATTTTTGACTTTCTGACTGCAGGGCTCTGATGTGGGAGCAGACTGGCTCCGGTGGTGTAGAACAGACTGACATAATGCTGATGGAAGGAGCCAGCAGAGTGGGTGGATCGTGCTGGGCCTGCGTGCAGAGCGTGGCTGGCACATGGCCATGAGTGCACACAGACAAGGGGACAAAAGGCTGGGCTGCCCCGGGCAGCAGCTCCTTCCCATTTGTGCCTGGCAGGAGGCTCAGCATCTCTCCTGGGACTGCAGGTGTCCTGTTTTTGTCTGGGACCTGTCTCCTGTGTTTGGATGGTGGCCACGCTGGCCAGCCTAGAACTGGAAACTGATTCCTGTTCCTCCTTTCCATGGATGCTGAGGCCTCCAGGCACCACCTGAGCAGTGCATAAATTAATTTCTGGGGACGCAAATTGTACCGTGCTCACTCTAAGGCCACCTCGCCCTGGCAGAAAGCTGCAAAATGGTTTGGGTATAAAAGGTGCATTGTTGGCTGTGGCAGTGTGGGGAGATGGAGACACAGCACAACACTCATGCAGCAGAGAGTGTTTAATGGCGTGCACAGCTCTTATATACCCGATCCAAAGACTCTGTGCTCAGAGCTGATTGGCTGTGACTGGTTACCACCCGGCTCACTGACCAATCGCTGCCTGCTTGTGTTCTCCTCAGGGATTGGCTCTCTGTAGCCAAACCCCTCCTCCTTTTATGTCGCTTACAGTCCAGCTGTATGCCGTCATAGCTCTCCCTTTTCTGTTTTAAAATATAAAAGCCGTGTTTATCATCTCCCTGTGGGGCCCCTTTGCAGGAAGGACAACAAACAAGGTACAAGGAGAATGAAATTATTCACTAAACTGACAAACCTAATCTTTCTAGCTATTGGTGTGTCCCACCTATTTTTTACTATGGTGTCCAGGAGCTCTCAAAGGTACAATATTGCTGGGTGGTATGCCAGGTTAATTAATTACAATGTTGCAAACAAACCAACTTAAAACTGATCGGAGGTAACATTTGAAACTGTTAGAGGGAGCAATTCCTTTTACTCCTAATGTTCTTAAGTGTCCAACTCTTGAGGTGCAGGTGAAGTCACAGGCAAGTTGTCATTCCAAAGGTCTGAGATTTCCATCCAGCTAGTGCAGAGGGTTGTTACCCATCGAATATGGTGTCTGTGGAAATATGCATACCTGCACCCCCAGGGGACCAGGTCCCATACTAATAGCTTAGGTTTAGGTAACTGGAAGGCACTAGAGGACTGTAATGACAAAAAATTATTTAAGATGACAGGGTTTATTTAATTGAGTAGACTCTCAGTTTCTCTCAGTCATCTTACTTCTTTCTTGGTACTATCTTCTTTGCCTTGGCTGCTTTGGGTTTGGCTGCCTTAGGCTTGGCTGCTGTGGGCTTCACCACTTTCACCTTGGCCATGCTCGGCCCTGCCTTCTTGGGGTGGCCTGCCTTTGCGGCTTTCTTGGGACTCTTGGCCACTTTCTTGGCTGCTGGGACCACCAGCTTCTTCACCTTCTTGGGGCCCTTCTTCAACACCACCTTTTTCTTCAGCTTCTTGGCAGCACTGACAGGTTTCGTGGCCACCGGTTTCTTGGGCTTGGCAGCCAGCTTTTTCTTTGCTGCCTTTTCTTTTGTCTTACCTGGCTTCTTGTTCAGCTTGAAAGAGTCAGAGGCACCAGTGCCCTTGGTCTGCACCAGGCTGCCATTTCTGACGAGCCTCTTGAGCCCCAGCTTGATGTGGCTTTTGTTCTTCTTCACATCTTCTTCGCATCATAGCTGCCAGCAGCCCTCTTGATCGTGCCAAGGGAGAGCCCCTTGCACTCCTTGAAGGCAGACACGGCCTTGGTGGTCAGCTTGGTGACCCTGGGCCCCACGGGCTTGCGGGTTTGGAGCCATTCGCTGCCTTCTTCGCCTTCTTTGGCTTCTTGGCAGCGGCCTCGGGGCTGGGAGCAGAGACAGCGGGAGCAGCAACAGGCCCAGTCTGCGACATCGTGCCGGCCCTCATCCATGAACCAGGGAAACCGCTGTAGCTGTAGCTGCCTGCGTGTGTTCTCCTCAGGGACTGTCTCTCTATAGCCAAACCCCTCCTCCTTTAATGTCACATACAGGCCAGCTGTATGCTGTCATAGCTGGCCAAAAGGCCTCCCAAGTCCTCCCTCCTGCCCACAGCAAAATCATGGTGGGACTTCCCCTGGGAGTGCTGTTTTGGCTTTGGTCCTCCCTGGGGCTGCTCTGTCCAAAGGAAGTGGGATGGGCACCTCCTTGGGAAAGGAGTAAGGTTTTGTTCACAAATTCCATGTGCTCTAGGGATGTGGTATGACTGGGAAATTAGCTAAACTCTACCTTTCTTTCCTCTCAAAAATGGGGAATATGCCATCCCTTATCTGCACTGCATGAAGACAAAAGCCTGGGGTTTTTTTGTACAGTTCTAATAAAAATAAATGCTATCTAAGCATCTACAGTATGAGTTTAGGGTATTTCCTGTTTGCTTTAGTTTTTTCTTATTTCTTTTTAGAAAGAACTCAAACTAATTTTGCTACACCCACCGAACTGTTTTTTTCTTAACTCTTCTAAGTAAAAGATTTTTCTTAAAGATTATACACGAATTTTACTGTACATATATTGCACTGAAACAACTGGTAACTTTTTCTTGTGCCTACTGAGAGTGCTGGCTCTTATAAATAGTATTTCACATGGCAGGCATGTAATACCCATGCTCTGTGGTCTCTGCCAACAGTTTTAGGTATGGAAATGAGGTTAATATTCATCTAACAGACATATTTTATTTGGAAACCCTTCTCTGCCTTTTCCCACATTGCTGTGGGAGGGGTGGGAAGCAGAGATGGACAGCAACTTTGTCCCTGGGAACAGATGGAAGGTGCAAAGCAGACATCTTCAAGAGGAGCTGACATTTTAAGCACTATCAAGTCTGCAGGGAGAGATAATATCATTCCTGAGACATAATGATATACTTGGAAGAGCAGACAAGCTTTACAGAATGTAAGCTGAAAAAGCATTTTGAGCCTGAATGCTTATCTCTTTTTATCATTCTATCCCGATGTGCAATAAAGATGTTATCTCCTCCCTCAAACCTTGTCTTGCTGGCATCCCAAGACCATAATGTCCAAAATTATACCAGATTTCACTTCCCAACTTGCTTTCCCATCCATGATATTGACGTGTGCATCTTCCCACCTTTAAGGCAATGCTGCATGTCCTGGCCATGTGACACAGGATAAAGAGAGCAAGAGTTTATTTTTTATTTGCTGTCCTCATTACTTTTACTGATGAATGTTTATTTATCTATCAAGTCAGAATAAGCAGTCATTTGCACTGGATCCTAATTTCAATTATGGATAGCCTAAGTATTTGAGTAATAATGTCATTGTTTGTTATTAGGCTTTAAGTAACAGACATGAGTAAATAATAAGACAATATAAATATAAATCTACTTAAATTATCCAAGCCTTAAATGCCAGGCAATAATGCTTAATCTAAAAAAAAGAAACCCATGTGAATTACTAACATCAGAGAGACTTCAGAAAGGCAGAAAGAATCTGTCTCTTATTAAATTTAAGTGGGTCAAATCCTGCAGCTCTCCAGTGCAGGGGACAGGTTTGCTCAAGGATTTTAATGGACTACACCATGATAAATGATGACAGAGGGGGTGATAAATACAATGTGTTGCTCATTAGGACAGGCAGAGATGGGCTGGTAAATGATGGGTATAGATCCAATTATTTATTTGCAGAAGTATCAAGAAATATTCATGCCCTAACTTAACATAAGCTGTACATTGGGATGATACTAAGTAAATTTGTACAAAACTTGAGTCTCAGGAAGTTGAATCTTACATTATTTGTCTTCTATATAAGCAGAAGTAATAGTAATAAGGAATAAAGGTGTATATCCAAGCATATTGCTTGAAATTACAACCTTAGGGATTTTCTTCATCAAAAAGTGGCAGGGAGAATTTAGTGCTGGCTGGTTGTTTTTTATTAATTTCTGAGGACTCATCTTTGGGTAAAGCATTAACAGGGAGTAAAGTGGAAAACTGGCAAAAGCCTTCTCTGTTTCCTGGGTTTCAGCACTTTGAGTTGATGCTGCAGCACCTCTGGGCCCAGCCCGTTGTGCTGTGCAGCTCAGATGAGCTTCCCTGCATCACCAGGACCCCAGGGCATCATCACTGCTCCAGAGTCTCCTCCCTCCCTGTTTGAAATGGGAGGAAAAACAACCCATTAAAACATAGCCTGTACTTCTGCAGCAGCACAGGGAAAGAGGAGCCAACTTGGGAGCAAACACTTTTTTTGCTTTGTGTGAGCACTTGAAGGGGTGATGGTGCAGCAGTGTGTTCCCATTCTTTTCCAGGACAAAACTGGATTTCATAGCTGGGAAGAAACAAACAGCAGCCACGGCTGGGAGGGAGACAGGGCAGGAGGACTGGGAAGGAAGGAGCAGGGAAGGGACCAACCTGCCCATGGGAAGGAGCCATCAGGGAAAAGATGACTTTGCCTTGATAGCCAAGGTCAAGCTGTCAGACAACCACAATCTGTTATATAAAACTGATGCAGCTGTTCTAAGGCTTTGAGCATGCCCGTGCTCCTCAATTTATTTTCATTCCCCAGGGGCAGTGATACGTGTGCTCTCTACCCCTCAGATGTGTGAAGTGAAATGAATTTCTGCTCACTGCAGTGCGAATCTGGAGGGCTCTGACTGAGGCAGAGGAAGGGAATGGATCTCAGGATAGTTTTAGAGATAAGTTTGCTGTAAGGACAGGGGTGGGAGCTCTGCTGCATGGGCTGAATGGGGGTCCCACCACATATGGCTGGGAGGGAGCTGGTTTGCAGTTCTCTCACTCCCTTGCTAAGATTTACATCTTTGGAGTCTCTCAGGAGGTGACTGCAAACCTCAGAGTGGTGTTGAAGCTGTAGTTTTGCTGTTTCAGTCTACATGAGTTTCAGAAGCAGCCTTCTACCTAAGCAAGTATTTTGGTATTGAATTAATTAGCAGTTCTCTTACCACAGCACTTTCAGAGGAACTGCATCCCACACCTGCACCCCTTCAACTTTTCAGCCTGCAGCCCCAGCCAGTTTCTCAGCCAGGCTTGGAGGGTGCCAGCACCACTTGCCCTGAGCCCAAGTCCTGCCTGCTGTGATCTGTCTTTGCAGAGTAATCCCCGCAATGACCTTGCTGAATGATCTCACTGCAGAACCTGGTGCTCAGTCAGCTTCTGCAAAGCTGCTGGGCTGCTCTGGCCCTGGGGACAGGCTGGGTTTGCAGTGGGCAGCTGGGGGTGCTGACAGGGTGCTCACATGTTGTGCAGTGGAGCAAGAAGGACATCACAGCACCCATTCCCTGCTTGGTTCTAGTGTTCCTTCTGGCTGTGCAAACCAAAATAGAAGAGAGGCTGATGGCCACTGCCTTCAGGTATGAATTAATGTAACTGATGCAGCCTGGCTGCAAAAGAAGGTGTGAGGACTGCTGAGGTGAGCACTGTGCTGCAAGGGGTGTGCTGAGCCTGTGCTGTTTTGTG